TGGTTGGGGAGGACTCCGTCAGGGTGGACCTTAACAGCTGTCCATCGTATGCATGTTTTTTGGTTGTCCGATGGAGTGTTCGAAAAGTAACCGAAAATCGTTAGTCCAAGTTTAAATATAAATTATTTTTTTGACCGACTCTTCCATTTATCGAGGTCTTACTCACCCCTGGTTGATCTCTGTATAGCCGGCAAATCGATAAAAGGAATGTGAACGACAAGTCGAATCATAACAAATGCATTATTGCTTTATGCACGTAATTAATGAAAGACCATCTGAAGGCTTTATGTATTATTTGTTTTGCCATTTTTTTGTATCTCTCTATATAATTCTCCTTAATTCGAAAGTCGCTGAGATATTTTCTCCCATTTATGGTTTCTCAATTTTGTGATTATAAAAGTTATCTTAGCCTATCGTCGATTATCTCAGCTGCGATTATGTGCTTTTCAACAGTTTTCGCTGAGAATTTAAAAGTAATGGGAAATGCGCGAGAAGAAATCAGCATGCGACATACGTTCTCCTTTCCTGTCTTCAATACTGAAACCGTTGATGTACCCTTTAAGTCAAACTTTTTGATGCTTGCTTTCAAAGAGGTGATATCTGTATGTACTATACATTTGTGACCATGGAACTAATGGCGAAAGTGCCTTACTGCATTGTAAGCCGCGGAGGTCGCGAACTCGTATGTGTGACATTTTGAGTCAGCCATTGTTGTACATCCGTGTGTTATTCCAATGGAGTCATTAGTCAATATTAAGATAAATTTTTGACGAATATGCTCATATTCTCGCTTCCAGGCAAGAATGTTAGTTTTGGAAGTTAGAATATATGAAGCTCATCTGCTTAGAACATCTTGCGTGGATTTACTGGAATTTGACCCGATTCTGCAAAGCATCATAAATATGCTATACTCGTTTATAAAAATGATCATTTTATAACGTTAAAAGAAAACCCAGATCAAAAAAAAATTTCTTACACTTGCGCGTTTTAAAGTCAAGGATGCATTCTTCAATCCAAAATGCATGGCTAAAAATTTATGTTGCCTTCCGGCGTGGCAAAGACAGTGCTCTGAATACATTCAGGGTGTATAGGTAGTTGGTTAAAGTGACTTGCCATGTCTAAACTAGAACAAGTAAGAAGTTCTAGTCGGGAGCTCCCGGCTAGGGGATACCCTGAACCCTCTTCTTCCAACATCAAATGCATATATATATTCTATTTTAGAAGCTATATGTCAAGTTTGGTGACTCTGGCTCTTATTATTTACCAAAATTGCCCAAAAAACAGGATATCGATATCGATTTTTATCGATTGTTTGGAAACGGAGTAAGTTATCGATTATCGGAAACAAACCCGATCTGCGCGGGAACGAGCATCTACATCTAAAATTTCAAGTCTCTAGCTCTTATAGGTTCTGAGATCTTTGCGTTCATACATACGGACGGACGGACGAACGGACGAACGGACAGACAGACGGACATGGCTAGATCGACTCGGCTATTAGTGCTGATCTAGAATATTTATACTTCGGGTCGGGTCGGAGATGCTTCCTTCTGCCTGTTACATACATTTGGATTTTGCACATATACAATATACCCTTATACCCATTTTTAATGGGTCAGGGTATAAAAATATTTCCCATCACGCAGTATATTAATTTAATCTGCCGTAAATGGCAGCATATATGTGACAACGACCATAGCGGTAATCGAAGCATATTCAATAAGCTCCATTTTTCTTCCTATCCATTAGCATTGGGCTTGCAAATGGGAATAATAATCATTTCAATAGTTATTTTATTTTATTTCTAACGACTTTATTTTCTTCTATAATCAACCTGTATAAGTACGTCTTTGTACAGTTTTATCTGTTGTTTAATGCCCTATTATTATTATGATTATTATTATTCAAATGAGACTCCAGACCCTAATCCCAATATACCACGTCCAATCAATACATAATTATATGATAATTTATCCTTTACTACATCACTACAAATAATATTGCTAAAAAAAAAATCACTAAATTATTGGAGTTTTTCAGCACAACTCCCTTGATGATTAACTTCAGAATAAAAACAAAATATACTGGCTCATCAAATTAATGCAGCATTTGACATTTGCATTTCTCTAATTATCTCGAGAAAATTTAGATTTTGAGACCCCAAAAGCTGAAGCCATGAATCGTCAGAATTTCTTCGTTGAGAGGCATCGCCCTATCACACTTCTGATGTTGCAAGTCCTGAGTGTCGTTATTATCACCAAGTAACTTCTCAAAGCACGTTTCTTCACTAAGAATTGATTTAACCAAATAATTGTGAATTCATAAAAATTTACAAATGTTTAGTTGGAGCCCGAGCAAGGACCGGTTAAAGCTGAAGATTCGCCATTATTTATCGTGAAAACTTAGCGTTTAAGTGACAGACGAATTTTATTAAGAAAATTAATTTTATAAGAATAAACTTAGCTTAAAATAAATGAAAAATATATATTTTACAATTTTTCCCTTAATCTTTAATATATTTTAAAATAAATATAACTTACTATTGCATTTAGCTAAAGTCATTCGAAAACTTAATTGAAAATCTATTTATAATTTTGATTATAGTTTAAATAATAATACCACGCTCAAAACATCTATTGCATAAATATCCGTTTAATAGTCGTGCGTTAATAAGAAAAAATACGAAGTGCAACAACAACTTTACAAATGAATAAAATAATACAATACATGGCACATAAAGAAAATGTAAACCGTTAAACAGTTAAATCACTCCACTCGGAGTATAAAACACCTTATTTTGCGACTCCCAAAGGACCCTCCAAAATAGAAGGGAACATGCAGCTCTCGTTCTAATATAATAAAAAAAATAAGATCTAATACCCTTGCAGACCCAACCTTTTTATAATACTTATAGTGCTTTGCCCGTATCTAAGAAGCACAGGCAAAATAGTTAATGCCGAGTTTGGTCAAGATATCTTGATAAACAAAAAAGGTTTTTAATCAAATCACAATTATATGATATAGTCATCCGATCTTAATAGGATTTTGCATATGTATATATGAGGAGCATAGTAAAACTAATAAATGCCGAATTTGGTCAAGATATCTTGATAAACAAAATGTTTTTTCATACAACAAGTTAATTTTGAACCGATCGTCGATGGCAGCTATAGTGGTCCGATCCAGCTAGTTTTGACATATGTGCTGCGTGCAACAGAAAAAAGGACTTCTGCGAAGTTTCATTAAGATAGTTTTAAAACTGAGAGACTAGTTCGCATATAAACAGACAGACGGACATGGCTATATCGACTCGGCTATCGATGCTGATCAAGAATATATATACTTTATGGGGCCGGAGATGTCTCCTTCTATGCGTTACACATTTAACGACAAATTATAATACCCTCGGAAAATTATAATACCCTCTGCAAGGGTATAATAAAACATAATAAACACAGTATTTGCATTTCATAGGAAATTTCGTAAAAGACTGCCCAGGTCCCAGGCTGTCTTTCTGACATGAACAGTAACTCGTTCGCTAGTCCAGGACTAAAACAAATGACCTTGTCCTTAATCCTTAATATGCTTCAGGGAGGTGATAAATTACGCGAAGCCATTAATGAATAAGTGGCGAGTGTTTTACTAAAATCCCGCTGAAGGGTCCGACTCAGGTCGAAAATTGAGATGTATTGAAATGTACACAATTAAATAAAACACTTTGTTTAGTTTAATCGATATCAATATTTATTAATTTACTTTTCTGCGCACTTTAACTTGTTTCACTCACTAAGGTTCAGAGAAGAGTAAGGCTAAACTATAAAAGCATTTCAGCATCAAAACTGAAAATAACAAAAGCCCACTTGGTCATTGTACCTTTTGTATGAATGAGTGTTTGTGTGTATTTCAACACTCATTATTACAACAAGATGTGAACGATATAACGAATTTAATAAGGGAATTCTCGACAGATAACACCACAAACGTCTAAAGAGTAATGGCCATTTATAGGGAAGATATGGATTATAGAAGAATCGGATACTGTGCTGGACGCGTACAATACCTCAATAAATTAGAAAACCATCTCCAAGTGTCTAACAGAACATTACGCCGATAAGCAAGATTTAAAAACTCTCGAGTATCAGATGTTCTCACTGACACAGGGTCGTCTATCTGTTACAGAATTTGACGAAATGGTACAGCACATGTTGTGTTTGATACTTAATCAGATAAGCGTAAACGCCAGAAATAGTAAGTGAAATAAGCCTTGGACACTTTCGTGAGGTCTACATTTCGATTTATCTCGACTCCTGGGTATAATGGTGCTTAGTAGAGAACCAATAATTGAAAAATTGTATACTTAAAATTAGGCAACAACCGACACCTTTCCCACCTGGACATTTTAGAGTTCGCCATAATTCGAAGTACCAACCAACTAAAATTATACAAAGCAATAGTTCTGGACAGTGAAGGAACTTTAATTTAACTGGAGAGTACTCAACCAACAATAGCACTCGCTCCCAAACCGGAGAACAATTACGGACCGGTACTCGATCCTTGAAATCAGAGAAATAATCGCACAATTGGGCGACAACAAATATTTGACTGAGTTCGATATGAAGAGCGGGTTTTCCCAAATTCCAGTCAAAGAAAAAACGATGAAAAACATTACTTTCAGCATTTTATTTATTAATGGACAACAAAAATGAGTGTCTTCTCTAATTATTTAACATATCAAATTATAAAAATTTAATCCTAATTAGAACACATAATTTTCTAATAGCATCACCGACCGATGGAGGTATTTTATTTGCCCGTTCGGCCAGTTATGCCCCCACATCTCAGATAATTTTGTCAGTGGCGTTATTAGAGTTTACAGGTAAGAAGGAAGGTGTTATTAGACAAAATAGTGTTATTAAGTAAATATTAAAAATAATCATAATTTACTATACTATTTTAAAAAATACATAAAAAAGAAAAAAGTTTTTAATAAAGTAAGGAAATTTAAACTATAGTGTTAAGTAGATAAGAAAAATAGATAGTGATAGTAAATCACCGACCCGATGGGAGAAGTTTATAGCCTGTCCAGCAAGCTGTACCCCTACTCATAGCTGGGAATGGTCAGTGAGTTCCCGAAAGTATCATGAAAGCCACGATTTTATTAGAAGTAGAGATAGTTTTGTGGAGAAAACATGGGAAAAATTTGAAATTGCTTCTGAACTGAATCAATACAATTGTCTATCGTTATACTTCGGAGACCAGATGCAAGAGCAGTGTTCAAGGATCGGGCGAACAGAAGAGATGTATAGCAGTTTGGTTATAAGAGGATCGTTCAACTCTTTAGACTAACTTTTAATGAATCCAAGTATACCTTTGGCCCTATCGGCGAAGGAAGAACAGCACCTAGATCATTAATTGTTGGTAGTCGCTGCAATGAAGTTTTGTGGATTCTATAACTGACAAAAAAAAGGTGTAGTATGATTGAATGTCATAAAAATACACTTTGATCGATTTAGATGCAACGTCAAAGTTGCATAACGTGCAAACCATCTTGTAGACCAAAGTGATGCAGTCCGCATCGTCTGCATAAACATCTGGCAAAATAAAATTAATTCATTTGTAACAAAGTGCAACGGATCAAATCTGGAGATTATAGATTTTTAGCGTGGCGTTAATATTTAATAATTTTATAGCTTCGCTTCGAATATTGAAGCAAAACAAATACAAATACAAATAATTATTCGCAGCGACACAAAAAAATTAAGATTTATACCACAATTTCTTATCCTTTTAGTGGATCGCCCAAATTCTTCTGTTGCGCTGACCAAAACCGCCCGCTTAATAATAATGGAATTTGCATAATTATGCCTCTATTTTGGCTTATGGCTGCGCCTTTGACATACACACATTCGCCAAAATGCGCATTTAACCCAACAACACCATCGATAACGCCTCGCACATCATTTTCAGCTGCAGCAAACACAGAGGCAATCGACAAAATTCCCATCCATTAACCAAGCACACCACATGTACGATTTTTTCCAAAAAGAGAATAACACTGCATATCGGGAATTAACAAAATTTCTAAATTTTAGCATCACCTTATAAGACAACAATCAAGTCAAATTTCCGACTTGGCAATTTCTGCCGTAAGCTGGCGGCCAAATAACCCCAGTTATCGCCTGACTCATTGCAAGTATTTAATTAGTTTGTTCATATAGGTAAATTGATTAATAGCAGTCGGCAAGTCCAATATTACGATTCCGAGACGATCGCGGCCACGGAATCACAGAGTTGTGGTTTAGTGTTTACTTTTGTTAAATTATGCACAGCATACAATACAATCCCGATTACAGTTATAATTACAGATACCATCTTTAACCATTTTAAACAGGTTCAGGGTATAAGAAACAAACAAAACAAATGTAATCAAAACTCGCTGGTTAACGTAAAATCAGCTACGTTTTTATTTGCCTAAATTTGTTTACTTGAGCACCCTTTATTAATAACTGCAATTCCGTGCTAGAATTAAGATAATAATTTATGTATTCGAACGTTTAGTAAAGCCCATCCTTTAACAATAGAGGCTTTTAGGTCCTTCAAACTTCTTGTATTGCTTCCCATTTGCATAAACTAAAAAAAGCTTGTGTGCGCAATACCGTGTGCATGAGAGCGTTATCGTGCTGAAACAACTGTGTGCAAAATATTCTTCTCCAAAATGGATCGATTCTGAAATTGGGAGCTCAAAATAATATTCTGCATTCATGCTATGCATCACGAAACGTACGTCATGGTATCCAAACAAAGCATCGCAAGAGATCCACCGTTAAAGTTCCTTGACAGAGAATTTTTGCTCACCGTTTTTTTTTTTTATCGTTCAAGAATTTGTTGTATTGGTGTAGTGTTTTTTACTGTGAACTTATTTCTTTGTTAACGCAAAGTCATTGCATGTCCTTTTTTATTTTGAAATCAATAGATATAGGCGAATTCAATTGACGCTTGTTTACTCTTTGTCATCTTCTTCACCTACTTCTAACATAACTTGCATAATTTTGCGTTTGAGTTTTTTTCGAGAAATTGAAGAGTTCAAATTGCGCAACTCAGTTGCTATTAATTCACCAAATGCATCCCACTGATCCCGAATACTTGAATGTCTGGATTCCGATAGCGCCACACAACTTTGTCCTCCACTCTGAATGAAACTTGGAGAACCACAGTACGTTTTTATTGAAGAACTCCGTTGTACTTCACAAGATCCTTGTACTTTTGTATTGGCGTCAGTTGTGTCCTTGCAACTTAATATTTGTAGCTGTATAATATCCTCAAGCTGGTTTTCTATAGTGGAAAGTTGAGGTTCTGTGTTATCGTTGAAGGTTGAAATACTATGTCTTTTTACCACTTTCTGCTAACAAAAAAAACGTATTCAAGAATTTACTTATTTATCTGGTTTGGAAATAAAAATGAATAACCTTGATTTGTGGTTGATGATAGCCAGGCCGAGGTTCAATAAAAGGTCGCAAAAACATCAACGTTTCAAAGTGCTCCCAGCGGCGTGTTTTTGGTGATACAACTTTTTTTCCTCCCGTTTTTTCTAAGCGTGCTTCATACTTTTTCAATTCCGAATTAAACTGATTTCGTAGGTTGTGAACCTTTTTCCCATAGTCAATTTTTGAAATTTCGAGAGCTGTACATATGCGATTTATAGCTTTATTTCGACAACTTTTGTTTTTGTATAACTCCGAATAATGGTTCCACAAACAATCAGATGCACGATAGAGCTCAATTAGTTTGTAAATTTTTTCTCGTGTCCAAATGGTATGCTGACCACCTCTTCGTTTGACAGGTGTAGAACTTAAAACGGTTGTTGAATTGTGTGTCATTTTTCTTATGTAGTTAAACACGTTAAGGAAAAACAATATAGGCTCAGGAGCTGAAGTAAAACTTTCGACTTTCGTATTTACTTAAAAATAAAATAATAAACTGCATAAACTGTATATCCAAAATTAACATTATATTTGCGTGCGTCAAACTAGCAACGGTGACTTGGCGTCGACTTTTTGATCTTAGTTCCGGAGCTGGAATCACTCACTTTCATACGCAATTATTTGTGTTATTAAGCACACAACAAAAGAAAATTTATTGCTGAATGGTAAAAAATTAAATTGTTTATTGTCTACCTTCATATTTTTAATATAGTAAACCAAGGGGTTGCAAAATAAAGTTTTTAGCATTTTTAAACAACTTAAATCTAGGAAAATGTCCCCAAAAACCGCATTTGCACAATTTAAGCCTATAGTTTCACCTAGTCAATCGTAAATGTTTGTCTGAGCCGTTTTAATAATTTAAATGGCCCTATACGAACGCTTTTCCATTTTGTTAATACATGTCTTAAAGGGCTCTGGATAAATTTTCAACACATGGACGGTCCATTTTTTGAAAAAATCTATTTGAGCCAACAAGAAATAGTTCATTCATAAGGTATGTACATGTATAATGAACTGTTATTTTCAACGCGAACTGAGTTGGATTCAGTTAATTTTATGCTTTTTCACAGATAATTGCCCAAAATGCACAGCATGAGGCTCGATCATTCAATCATTTTGCTCCCTAATTCAAAAAAATGGTACAGTTTTTGTGGCAGCAAAAATAATGTGGCAGTCTTTAACAATATTTACAACGATACTTAATTACTCAAATTTTAGCGCAATAATAAAATATATGGCAATATTTATTTAATGTTGTGTAACAACACTATGTGGCTATATCAAATATTATATCCAATTAAACCTACATTCTGTATCTATTTTCACATATATGTATATATATTTATATTTTTTTTTTGCGTTTTACTTTGAGTATATTTATATATATTTTTTTACACAAAATTATTATATATATATATGTATATATATATATATATATAAATATATAAATGACAATATTTATTTATTTTTGTGTAAAAAAAAAACTAATGTGTGGCAATATTCATTAATTGTAGCGCCAACACCAAAAGCAGCACGCGTTCGTTTATAGTAATAAAGATTATTTGAAACGAGAAAGAAAGGCTATCTTCAGCACGCCGAAGATCTAATACCCTTGCAGACCCACCATTTTCATAATGATTATAGTGCTTTGCCCATATCTAAGAAGCACAGGCAAAATAGTTAATGCCGCGTTTGGTTAAGATATCTTGAAAAATAAAATGTTTTATCATACAACATATTAATTTTCGACCGATCGTTCCTATGGCAGCTATATGATATGGTGGTCCGATCTTAATATGATTTTGCAAAGTTTCACATATATATATCTTTAAAACTGAGAGACTAGTTCGCATAGAAACAGACAGACGGACAGGCGGATATGGCTATATATATATATATATATATATATATAATACCAAGGGTATAAAAAGAAAGTTCCTTTGACAGGGTCCGAACTCGCAACTAACCGCACTACTTGCCGCCGTCTCTACTCAACAGCCATACCAGCCACACAAAAAAATAATAGTTTCCCCGGTAGGTCTCGAACTCGTGACAGACAACACCATTTGCCACCGCCTCTACTCAACAGCCACACCAATAATTGAGTCTTCGTGAGAATAGAAACAATTAAAATAGTAGAAGAGAAAACAATACGCAATTATAATGCTGTTGATGAATACGAAGCAGACGCGCATGAACGTGTGTGTGTACATGCATACAGATATTCTTCGAATTGGCGCTGGAGCCGCAAACACGTGTTTCTTAACCGATCTTCATGAAATTTTCTACAGTATATCTTATTGTACAATAGAATATTTGTGTTTTTTCAAAGAGTCAATTGCTTAAATTAAATTGTGGCTTAAATTGGTTGGCAGTATAAGTTGGGTTATTAACTTGATTTATAGCTCTGCGGTGTTAGTGGGGAGGTGGCGATAGGTATAAAATGAAAGATACTTGATATATATATAATATTCTAGAAGCAACATATCTTGTTTGGTGACTCTAGCTCTTATTATTTATCCAATTTGCTCAAAAAACAGGATGTCGATATCGATTTTTATCGACTGCAGGGAAACGGAGTAAGTTATCGATTATCGGAAACAAACTCGATCTGTGCAGGCACTATGAGGACCTACAGCCTAAATTTCTCTAGCTCTTATAGGTTCTGATATCCTTGCGTTCATACATACGGTCAGACGGACGGAAGGACTGACTGACAGACGGACATGGCTAGATCGACTCGGCTATTGATGCTGATCAAGAATATATATACTCTATGAGGTCGAAGATGCTTCCTTCTGCCTGTTACATACATTTGGATTTTGCACAAATACAATGTACCCTTTATAGCCATATTAATGGATTCGGGGTGTAAAAATAGTTTTCCCGTTAGGGCTTGAGCTTGCGATAGACCGCACCACTTGCTATGCCTCTACTCAGCGGCCACACCAATTATTATTATTATTAAAACGAATTGTTAATAGTATTAGAAGCAAAAGCGCATGAATGTGTGTGTGTATATGTATACAGAAATTCTTGGAATATGCAATAGCTGCCCCATCCAATTGCGCAGTAAAACTTAACTTTGGTTATTTCTTAACTGTTCCTAATGAAATTGTGTATTGTGTATTCTCAAAGAGTCAATTGCATTAAAATTGTGGCTTAAATTGGTGGGCTGTTGTGCGCGGAGAGATGCGGCTTCATACTGAACGTTTGGCTTTCGATCCCGGACTTCGGTTGCCATTCTCAGCACTCTTATTCTCTCTGGGCATAACAAAATAGTCGCAGGCACCTTTGAGGCTCACTCGTTGCGATTTATCGTGTTTCGATTATTCTACTGTTTGATGAATCTATGGATTGTATGGTTAGTGGATCTATTTGTGTACTGGCCGTTCTGCCTCTTGAAATAAGGGTTCTTGCCCTGTCCACACTGGGAAATATTTCTGTTTCTTGCAGCTGCTCTTGCAGTCGCCCCTGTGGGCGTGGCTCAGGACGTCATCTTTCTACTTTCCCCCTAGCTAAGCTTGCCGCGAAAGCATACATGATAAGACTTTCCCTCCTGGGTTAGTGCCTGTGCCGTCGGCAAACCCGAAAGATTGGCCGCAAACAACACCTTGTTTAAACTGCGTATAAGTCCAAAAAATACTCGGAGCGCGTCACTCCAAATCAAAGTCATATCAATAGCCATATGGGCCTTGTTTGTAAGTATAGTTTTTTGTAACCTCATCGTAGTACTGTAGGATAGACAAGCCGCCCTGCCTAAGCGTGCCCATTTCCTGCGCGATCGCATGTATAGGGCGCTTGTCACTATACGTGAAGTCCAACCTTGCTATGAGCGTGTACTGGACCTCTACACCCAGGGACTCCGGAAAAGACTTGCAGCTGCGGCTTGTAAACTGTACCCCGTTGTCGCACACAAACATCTTGGGCACCCTGAACCTACTGAAAATACTCTCCAAAAAAACACTGTCTGCAAGTGCGCTACCGTAGCCCTCCTGACTGGGACCAGTACTACCCACTACGTGATAACGTCATAGAACACCATTAACATTGTGTTGCCATTTCTCGAGCTTGGAAGGGGCCCGACGAAGTCAATGGAAAGCACCGCCATCGGCTCTGCTACCTGCCTTGTCAGCATGCGACCGGTCGGTTTGAGCTGATCACTTTTGAACTTCTGGCAGACTTCGCAGCACTTCCCGTACTTGGCGGCTTCGCTGAACATACCCAGTCAACCTCGAAACGGCTTTCGTCACGCCTTGATGTCCGGCCGTGAGAGCATCATTACCTTCCTGCAATACCCTCTGCCGTTGACCAGTGACCACATATAGTTTCCAGGCAATGTGGTCTTCGTCGCCGTCTGGTGGTCCAAATGCCTATACAGCTGCTCATTTTCTCCTATGTAGTCCGGGAACTTGGCTGGCTTTTCGGCGATCCTGGCACGCACTCGCGACCCATTTGCAGGGGGACTCGGCCACCACTGCCTGCTGACAGGTCTCTAGAGGATGCATCGACAGTGCATCAGCCACACCATTGATCTTCCCTCGTCGGTAGTGGACATCGAACTGGAACTAGTGCAGTTCATCCATCTCCGGCCCTATTACCGTGACCAATGCTCGCTGGACGGTTGCACACACTGATTGCCGTGCATTCTATACTATCGGCTGTCATCAGTATCTGGCAATACTTGTGCTCCAAGTCTAAGGTAGAAATGAACCAGTGAACCGCTCAAGCATTTGATTTATCCGAGGGACAGAATAAGCAACCGGAATGGAGTGCTCATTGAGTTGGCGGTAGTCGACGCACATGCGACTAAGACGATTAGGGCTCTGTGTGGACTTCGCGACGGCTCGATGGCACTTGGGTGGATTAGTCTATCTACCGGCTCGTCGATTACCTGGCCAGATTCTTCGGATAGTATCTTTGTATTTTTGGATAGTATCTTTCAATGGCTTGTCATCCTGCAGCCGGATCCTGTGCTCCAAAATGAGTGCCGACTCCAGATGCAGCTCCATGAATGCTCCACTCTGGCAGCTGCTCCCAATACCCTGCGTCCGGGTGGATCCTTCAACCTCCTTTCACATTTTCACCTCCATGACCAACGTAGATCTGTTGCTGCAGGTATACTCGCCGCCTTTTGGGCTCCTCGCGCGCTCGGTCACATCCCGAGTGAGGCCCCTTCTTCGCTTCCTCTTTCGTATCCTTGTCCTTTGGTTGGGCGGCGCTGAGCAAGCGTTCCTTTTCCCTGACGTGGGAAGCCTTCTTTTGGTTCCCGCTTGACTAGCGTTGACAACCAGGTGCTCCCTTTCTTGACGTGTGAGGCCTTCCTTCGGTTGATTCTTTGTGTCTTCTCCATTCTGTAGCCGGGCTGGTGGTCGTTTTCCTGACGTGGGAGGACTTTCTTCGGCTCTTCGCGCATTGCACCCAAGAAATCCATATAGCATCGAGGGCATGATAAGCATCGACATGCTGATCATCTTCCCCGTTAGGCCAACGTCTAACCACAATGCCTTCCCTATTTCTAGAGTGGACCTGTCTGCCAGACGAATGCGCGTA